AGAGAGAGAGAGAGGGAGAAGAGAGAAAGAGAGGGAGAAGGGAGAGGGTTGAGGAGAGCGTGCGTCGTGATGTTGCAGGCGCGGTAGGATGCCCTGCCCTCGCCGGCAGCCCGCACCGTCCACCCGTGAGGCCCAGGCCAGCCGCCCCCGCCGCCCACGGCGCGCCCCCAGCGGGTCGCCCTGCCCTCCCCCGCGCGCCACCATGCCCGCCCTCGCCCGCCAACAGGTCAGTACTCACCATCACGATGTGTTAAACTTCCAGAGAGTAAAGTTAATTTGCCAGGTAGTCGTCGCAGTCACAGTCTTTTTCAAATGTACCGGGTGTAACTGTGAATGCGCAGCAGTGTTGCGGGATTGCATACCCGACAGGGCTGCAGGGCCATGGCGCCTTACGGGCGAATTGGGTAGGCAAACCAGCAACACTGCTGCGCATTCACAGTTACACCCGGCCCCGGTACATAGAATTTAGATTTCGGGAGCGTGTGAAAAGGTTTCTGGCCCGTCGCATCGACTGAACCGAAAGGCTTTTGCAGAAGAGGCCGCTTGCGTTATTCACAATGGAATATCATTTCCCGCTCGGGCCGTTATGAGATTTCTGTACGTTTCTCTTCTTTGTTTCCCGGCGCACTTTGTTCTTGGAAACAATCAAGACTGCTTCTCCCTCCCCTTTCCATTCCAACCCCAGCACAGCGGAAAAGATCCGACTGAGAGGTGCTCCATTAGAAGACAAGCGACGTTCCGTTGGAATAGTGTGCCAGCCAGAGTGTCAAAGAAAAAATAATGAAAACTCTTCATAAATTTTAGCCTAAAAATTCTACCAAAATCCCAGAAGAATATTTTTAAACTCAAATGTTAACGTGCTGCAGTGAAAGGGATTGGGCTTCATTTGAGAGCCGCAGCGGAGCGGAGCCGAGTGGAGCGGCTACCCGACAGGACTTGTTGACGCTCCAACAGTTAGTTTCCCTTGGATATTGCGTTCGTGGGAATGCCCCCTGGGCAGCCCAGTGTACACGGGGGGACGTGGCCGCGGCAGGGCTGGGCATTGCTGGGCAGAGACCTTTCCCCCCCATCCCCGCCCCATCGCACCCCGCCCCGCGCGACCCCACTGCGGGCCACCCCGACAGCAGCCCCGTCCCGCCGCTACCCTACCGACCTGCCCGGCCCGCTCCATCCCAGCGGACCCACGCGAATAGCCCACTCACCTCAGCCCGCCTCGGTCGTCCCCCCGAGCCCGCCCCGCCCCACCCGGCCAGGTCCCGCTGTCAGAAACAGTCCGTACTTCGGCACTTGCCTTTTTATTGTTTATTTTTTAGCCTTGCTCATACGATAAAAGTTGAAGGATCGAGAATCGTGTTGAATTGCCACTGTTTAATTAACGACTCAAAACAAGAGAAGGATTGTATGTTGTTTCTGATCTGATGTATTTTTCTACTCGTTGAGCTCTATAAGTTCACTGGGTCCATTTTGAATCAACAATTTCTACCTACAGTTAGGGCTCATCTAGAAAGAACTTTATTCACTGAAGCGAGCTCTCATGGCGCCTGAAAGGTGGGCAAAATATTGTTTGCAGTGCATAGGTGTACTGCCGGGTGGCCTACTCAAAGTCTCGCAGGCGTCGAACACGCCAAGAACGGATGAAGTAATCTTAAAAAGAGAACCACAAAAACAGACGCACTTCCTGTACGATCCTTTTGGTTGTGTTCTTGAGTATTACAGGTCATCACGGACTAGTCGCTCTCAAAGTGGTTTGACATAGAGAGACGAAATTTGGCACCATAAACTCAACTGGACATTTCTGGGTATAGTGAGTGGTGCAGGCTAGATCAAGACACTGATTTCTATTTTGCATCGTCCGATTTCGTGGTTCGTTCTTTGAAGCAGTGACGTTTTATTTTAACATGACGCAGTAAAGGCACAGCAACCGCACGCCTGCACGCATACAGTGACGCAGTTACGCAGTCCCCTCTTCCTCTTTCTCCTCGTTTTTTTAAATTGTTTTTACCTCTTGCTGAAGAGCTTTCTCCCTCAGCGTTATTCCTCGCTTGCCTCTGCCAGACTACGCGGCGCGCACCCAGGGCCAGTGCGCCTCGCGGGGCAACCCCCCACCCCTTCCCACTCCTCTTCCTCCCCCCTGTCCCCCTCTCGCAACTCCCTTTGCTCCGCCCGCCGCCCTCACCCCCCGAGTCTTTGCACGTGGATTTCGCTCGCCGGTCGCTCCAGGGCAACACGCTCTACTTCGTTGCGCAGTATTGTCCCTGCTCCGGGGGTTGGTTCCGGTGCGTAGGGAAACACCAGGGCGCGCGTCAAGGGAGAACTAAGAAGCAGAGGGCAGAGGTTGTCCCTACAAAGAGGGCCTGCTTGCCGCTCGGTCTGGTACGCCCTTGAATCACCGGACGACACACGCAGGCAACCCGCACAGCACGAGTGTCGCTTACTTGCAAATACATACCCTCGCGCAAGTAGTGAGTTAATCTCCGTGTTCTCTTTTCTGACGGATGAATGTACAATAATTCCTGAAAAAGGGGAGCTTAGC